AAATTTAAAAAAGTTTGAAAAATCGATTTTATTCCTGTTTTTCGAACAAAACACGGCAGGATGCAATGGCAACTTCGAAAGAAGGGTGAACGCGTAAGAAAGATTCCCTGACACTGAAACTTCACCGAATTATTATTTTGTTCTTACTCTTGAAAACCTTAAAAGAAAATTTGAAAAACAATGTCTTATATTTTTATAATCGACAAGTCTAAAGAGGTCATATTTGTGACGTTAGACATGCTAGAAAACGAAGGCCAACTTTGACTATTAAAAAAGGCCTCTGGTATATGCCGCTTGATCATAAAATCAATATAAAATGGAACCTTGGCTTTTGTACTAACTTACTGGAAAGTTTTAGCTCTGGAAATCAAATACCATCCTGACAACAAAGCAAGCGGTGAGAGCAATTGAATTGGGAAATTTATGCAAATTAGACGGCTTGCGGACGGTTGTCAAACTAAAAGAAAGGTTTTACATGAAAGGATTACTCACCATTGCTTGTAACACGTTTTTACGGCAAGGAAAGTTATTTCCAACTTCTGTTGCGTCAGTTTGAGTCACAAAATCCATAATTTTAAGCCAAAAGGTCCAAAAGACAAAAGTACGTTTGCTCAGCGACTGCGCCAGAATCCGGCCGTGAATCGAAATAAAGTCACAACACGTCACTGCGGTCCTTTGGAAGCAAGAGTTGCAAGAGCTTTTACTTCAGTCAGGAGGCCAAAAGATTGAAAATTCATCGCAAACTAATGACTTCGATTTTGAAAACCTTTCATCACTTCAATCGTTCGTCGGCTGATAATAAACATCGCACAAGATCGTATGACCTTTGGCGTGTGACCGGAAATCGGTCACACGCTTAAGTCACGTTAGCATACTGTCACGAATTTTAATACGATTTTTCACGTTTGCTTTCGACAAAAAATAGACTCATCGAAATAAAATCAGGCCTGCTTTATTTGTTTGTTTGTTTTTTTAATTTCTTTTATAGCCTGCAGAACTTGTTCCCATGCATCGCGCGTGTCTCGCACCCCCAGTCCGCTTCGCAGTGCTAGCATGAAAAGCGCAAAAAACTGAAATTGACTCCTGTTCTGCAGTTGATTTCTTTTATAGACACCTTCTAGGCATTGACAGGCTGTGAAAAAAGTGTATTTTTTATTATTATTATTTTTTGACGTGCTACATCATTTTCCTATAAATTTCAAACGTGACTGATAAAAGACTGTTTGGAACCCATGGATGGAGAAAAGCTGTGCCGGAGAGAAGGTCAACCTCCCAGCCGAGCCAACTTTTGCGAGCGTTTGTATGAGGAAAAAACTGACCACTTTGTCCGAGTCAACAGTGCTTGCGCATGCTGTCTTTGTCTAGCCTTGACCGGGTAGTCCCAGCTAGCTGGGCGAGCCAAAGTGAAGAAATATTAGCCGGGCTAGAAGGGTGAGGCCACCACTACCGCCTCAGTGGAGGGCTGACTTCCGGAAGCCCTCAACCCCGCCCACTACTGGTAGTAAGGCGTCTATCCGAACCAACCTTTTGTTTCTCATGTAAGGAAATGGAGGAAAAGTTGGCTCGCCCAGGGCAGCTTAGGAGGTGAGTAAACACCAGATAACCCCAATAATAAGCACAAACTTTGATTGTCAGTTAGATGTCCACTATTTTAAGTAAGCGACCTGGCATGTGATTGTCGCATCCATGAACCCTTCCAGATCCCCTTTATTATCGGTAAGCCTCTGATAGGTCAAAGTAATACAGTCGTACCTCCAGTAAGCGACCACCAAAAATGCAAAGACTTAATGGTCTCTAACGGGAGGTGGCCGTTTAGAAGAATCGGACCTCATGGGGTCTATTCCGAGAAGAGGTCCGGGCACATTCTATTAAATGGCGGTGTAACAAATTCCTGGCAAAATATTATCTTTTACCTCTTTTGAAAAATACAGCTTTTAAATCATGCTCAATTTAAAGAGGGATTCAGGTGAGTGAGATACAGAATAGTCTAGAATCACAACAGAATCTTCACTTTGTTGGCTACATCTACTAAGTTAGGATATGTGTAGTTCCACGATGTCACTAAAGGTCTTCATATTTTCCAAGGAACATAGTGCACACAGCAAAAATAGAGAGCAGACAATGCGTTAACTGGTCGCTTATGGAAAACAATTAACCGTGACGCCCAAAAAGTGGTCGCAGTCACTCACAGAAGGTCGTTTACTGGAGGTTCCAAGTATAAGGCTTTGAATGGGAAAATTTGGTCTTTTGGATTGGCGGTCGCACATGGAGGTTCGACTGTGTTAGGTCTATTAGAGTATGAGCCCCCATCACCTCACTGTGAGTGACGAGAGCCAGGAACGTATAGTATACACTCCCTTAGGATGCACAGAATCGTTGTTTTGAGGTCCCGTTTAGCGAAATGGATCATTCAAGGGAGGTGCTGAAGTCCCATAGTGAAATTTGTAAGGTTTATGGGGTTTTAGTGCAAGGCGAAACACAATACTTAGGGCCCTGTTGT